AAACTCTCACAAAATGTTTATTTGTTGCTACCAAGGTACGGGTGAGGTATGGAAGCGTTTTCCACCTTGCCTTTCATAGCTTCTGAAGGGTTAACGTCATTTTTTAGCCCCAAACCAGTAAAGCCCAAACCCCGCTCCACAGGCGATTCTACAGGCTTCATTGTTCATGTCAGTCACTGATCTGATTGTCTACACACCACTCAAACAAATACTAGCCCCAACCGTAAGCTGAGATTTAATCCCTCCATGATTCTAAACATTTAGACAGGCGACTGTGGAGTTGACCGATAAAAAACTATTTGGAAAAAAATCACGCAATACGATTAAATTACCCTTATGAAAATTAACCATGGTTTTATTATAGTAAAAGTGTAGTAACCATGTTTTTGGCGGATTGATTACCATTTGTGTAACCACAAATACCATGGTTAAACTATGGTTAGTGTAGTAAAACCATGGTTGATTTGAGGTTACCACGGTTTAACTATAATAACCATGTTTTGGGGTTTTATTTTGTAGTAAAACCATGGTTACTTTTCGTAAGGGTAATGTTCGTGCATCAAAAAAAGATCCTATATCCATCCTCAATGCCAGATTACAACATAACACTTTAAATATCTTATTTTAGCTAATCAAAAATGCTTTTCTCAACCAGTTAACGCTAAGCTAATAAGCTATGCTGTTAGTTTGCTAACTAAAGGTTAACTGAAAACACCTGAAAATGTTTAATTTTTAGCTGTGACTATGTCATACGTTATTTAAAAGGCACTAACTAGCATAATTTCATAATTAAGAATAAAAACGACATAATTTGAATTTCTAGCATTTCTAATCAGGCTTAGGATAGAATACCCATTAGTTCTCTCTGACAGTCCTGCTTTGGTGTCCAAACAGAAAAAGGATCTTACAGGACATCGACAGCAATAGACCTTATTCAGAGCAGCGTCATGACCTGAAAAGCGAGGCTTTTTTTGCAACTTTTTATCTCAGAATTGCATGTTTTAATCTCGCAATTCTGACTTTATAACACGCAAATGGGAGATATAAAGTCAGAATTGCAAGATATGAAGTCGGAATTGCGAGTTATAAAGTTGTGAGATATAAACTTGCAATTGCGAGAAATAAAGTCAATTGCGAGTTTATTTTTCGCAATTGCGAGTTTATATCTCACAATTCTGACTTTATAACATGCAATTGCGACTTTATATCACGCAATTCTGAATGTAAACTCGCAATTGTGAGATAAAAAGTCGCAATAGCGAAAAATAAACGTACAATTTTTTTTTTAATTCTCGCAATTGCAAGTTTATTTTTCGCAATTGCGACTTTTTATCTCACAATTGCGAGTTTACATTCAGAATTGCGTGATATAAAGTCGCAATTGCATGTTATAAAGTCAGAATTGTGAGATATAAACTCGCAATTGCGAAAAATAAACGTACAATTTTTAATTTATTTTTTCTCGCAATTGCAAGTCTTTTAAAATGTTTTGATCTGGGGTGGAAACAAGCTTCAATAATAGTTTGATTACCACAGAAAATAATTTGGATTTGCCCCCAGTATTAAAAAAAAAAAAAAAATGTATGTTACAGTAACACACTTGGGTAGTTTAGAATGAGCTTTTGAGGGAGCTCTGGAAACGATGTATGTAGTCTAGATCTCACGAGACTTTTGGCAGAACGAGGGTTACCAGCGACGTGATTGACAACAACGGGATATGTGAAAAACAGGGACAATCTTCTCCCAACACAGCAGATGGGAAGATGGTCACCTCTCTCTCACTCCACTGACAGCTCTGCAGTCGCCGTCATTCAAACGTGTGTATGTGTGTTAACCTTCGCCAAAGTGAAAGGCAGCCGCCGTCTTGTCATTATCTGGCCGTTTCCGGATGGCCTGCCCCTGAAGAGCTCCGACACGCTGTCCAATTAGAGGTCCTGTCAGAGTGATGCGTCCCTCATTTTCCTCTCTCTCTCTCTCTCTCTCTCTCTCTCTCTCTCTCCTTTGCCTCATTGGTACAACTTTAAAATGAGGAAAAAAAGGAACAAAAAAACAGTAGGTTTGACATAGCAAAGACAGGTTAATTCAGCTCCATTTTGAGCGTGCAGACTAGAGGTAACGGTGACAAACTAATTTAAATGGTGCCATTACGACACCCCAGGTCTTTTTTTTTTCTTTTTTTCTTTTTTCTTCTTTTTTTTTTTTGAGTTGGTACAGCTTGCAGCTTTAATACCTCAATCCCGCTCACAGGTGACGTGTCATTTCTCCGCTGGCTTCTCTTTGTGTGTCAGTGCTGTATCTTTACACACAGTGTTCTGGGCAGAGACCTGCGTGAAAGGAAAGGGAAACGTCGCCGGTTTGATGTAGACACAAAAGACGAAAAGAAAATGGAGTTGAGAGTGCGAGTAGAGATCCGTGATTATGGAGTAATTTGTACTTAATGGGTTCATTTACAAACCGAGCACATTACAAATTGCTTTGTAAAGCCCCGAGTCCCAACCTTTGAAATGCATGCCACTTTACCAGAGGTTTAACCAATGATTCACCTGCATTTGTTTATTTCATTTACGGATACTTCTCATTCATGTCATTTGATTTAGATTTACGTTTTGTGTGTGTTTTAGTGTGTATGCTTTTAACCTCGATTTATATTATTTGACCAAGTCACAAATCATCTGTAAAGATGTTTCTTGTTGTATACCATTAGAATCATCCTACTCCATTATTATATTTTAGTCCTTTCTGTCATTGCAAGTTGTTATTCATGTATTCTTTAATAAGCTTTCAGTATGTATATTTTCGAATGCCACTTTGTCAACCCTTGCTGAGATGTCATGAGGCCACTCTTTACAAACAGCTCAAAATGTCACAGGGACACCTAGTGGTGGCAAATATATTTTCAAGTCTCACTCAGACCCGTTTAGTGTCTCACCTAATGTTATGTATTTTTTTTAATGATAATGAATCTATCCAAGATTAAATGTGAAACACTTTGTCTACCCATAGAAAGATAGTGAAATTGACCGTTCAAACATGGCTCAACATTACCTGCCTTTTTCTGTCATCTGTATTTGAAGTTATTTTGTATTCCCAGTAATTGCTCAAAGGATCATCTTGATGATGTTAAATTTAAAGAATCTGGTTCATGGTTATTTTCACCGCACTGACAACCCAGTTTGAAATTTCCATAACTTGAAAGACTGTTAATGCACATGTGTATTTACCTTCTTTTTTTCTTTTTTTTTCTCGCAACATTCATTTTATTTTTGAGTTGAGTGTTTTCTTCATCACAACAGAAACATAAATACCCCTGGACGAACCTACGTCAAGTTATTCAGTCGTAAAGGCATGATTGATTGGCAATATTGTACTAATGACTGTACATTTTGTAAAAATTTGTAGAAAAAAATACAGAAAATTAAAAGAATAACCTTAAGATCTGTCTTAATAAAGTGTACATTTTAACCCAAAAGCATATGCTTTTGCTAAGGTCTGTACATTGCACTTGAGTTAAAAGTGAATGTTTATGTGAATAAAAACTAAAACAATCACGTTGTTATACTTTGACCTGATTCCATTTGTTGTGCTGTAATATTATTTATATTTATGTGTGTGTGTGTGTGTATATATATATATATATATATATATAATATTACAGCATTATATTATACAATACTATATACCGGTATATATATATATATATATATATATTAGGGGTGGAACGGTACACCGAAGTCACGGTTCGGTTCATACCTCGGTTCAGACATCACGGTTCGGTACGATTTCGGTACAATGGAGGGAAAAAGCAAAACAAAAATGCAGAAGGCATTGTATTTTTTAAATAAGTTTTATTAATAAAGGCATAGAACCAGTTTATTTGTAGTGCACTGACAATAGTTTTATATAATTAGTTTATTAATAAAAAGACAAAAAGACCTTGCGATATGTTTGGTAATTGTACTATTAATTTAAAATTATTTTGCTATATTTCAGATCAATATATTTGTTTTCCTTAATTTTAATTAACATTATTAATTGACAATGTAACATTATTCTCTTCTGAATTATAAATAATTGATTTCTATATAAAATAATACTACCATTAAAAACACATTCGATTTTCTTTTTTAATCAATGTTGAATGTGTAAGATTAGTGCTCCGAGGACAAGAAATGAAAACCAATGCCCAAAAGACAGACTGTTTTGAAATGGAGTTGGATAAATATGTTTTGCTTTTAAAACAGTGTGTATGTGATCTTGGTTGGGTGACAGTTGTAGTTTACAGTTTGACAAGAGTTTACAGTGTGACAAAAGCACAATATTGTGTTTTATTGCGAGTGTACACAAATATAAGTAAACACTTTGCAGGTTTAATGATCTGTATAAACAAAATGACTCTCTCTCTCTCTCTCTCTCTCTCTCTCTCTCTCTCTCTCTCTCTCTCTCTCTCTCTCTCTCTCTCTCTCTCTCTCTCTCTCTCTCTCTCTCTCTCTCTCTCTCTCTCTCTCTCTCATTGCAATCTTGACATCGCAGCCTGTTCATTATGCGGTCACACCGAACGCGAATAGAGCTTCAAATTCGCGTCTAATTCGACGCTAGTCCAAAGCGAATAGGACGCGCGTATAAAGCCAACGTTTGAAGTGAACGCGCGTTCAGAGCTAAGCCGATGGTACAGATTATGTGTCCCTAAAGAACCCGCATATCTAACAGTAGTTCCGCATTACATTAATTAATTTGCACGCGAGTTTTATTTATTTTTATACCGTGTATTCTCCGTGTAAATTCGTGCACCGAACCGTGACGCCCGTACCGTTTCGGTTCGATACGAATACATGAACCGTTCCACCCCTAATATATATATATATATATATATATATAATGTGTGTGTGTGTATATATATATTCACACCTAATTTGTATTTATCTAATGAAAAAGTTTAAAAGTGTTTTTGTGTACACCATTTGTCAAACTATTGGTTTAATCAAAACGATGTGATCTTTGAAAGACATTTTCACTTTATTGTGAAGCCCAGCAGTGAGTGATTTATTTGATTCTATATCTCTACATTGTCATTATATGATGCAATATGTTTTTAAAATACAGCAAATTAAGTTACTCTCAAAAAAAAGAAAAAAAGGCTCAATACAGAATACTCCACAGAACATTATACCAAGTTAGAGAGACCACTAAAATGTTGAAGATCAGACTCGTTTTTAAAGGACGTTCTGATTGGTCATATGCGTACATGATGTCAGCACGTGTTGTTTGACAGATGGATAAAAGATGAGTGTTTTCTATGCGTTTTCGTGTACATTTCAACTCTAAAGTCAAATACAGCCCATTAAACATGGACATCACACAAAAATACATTGCACATTTTTGTAAGACCTAACAGATTTAACAGACTGTCTACGTGAAAAAGAGTGAACAACTGACACTTTCCACCAGCATTTCTAATTAAAGTCCAATGAAGTTCTGGTGAAAGTCCAGTAATGCAGTAACGATGCCGATTGCAACACACTGACGGAAGAACTTCCATTTAAGGATTATTTATGAATCTCGAAAGTCATTCGAGAGAGGTTTCTGTAAATACCGGCTAAGCACAGTGGTTCACACATCACAAGGAGTCCAAAGAAATATCAGAAAGCATCAGTGTCAAGCATCAGATCACACTGAGCAAGGCATTGACATTTGCTCTGATAATTATCGACGAATATTACAATAGCGAAAACTCTGCTCCTCAAGTAAAAACTAAGCAACATGTGCACTTGTTCTGAATTCAGATGTATTGATTCAAATATTTACTTCTACACGACATGAAAGCCCTCGGAAGGGAAGTGAACATCAATCGTAGGGCTTCATACACAGTCACGATACTTACAAAGTCTCAGCTTCTTTAAGTTTTCAATAGGGTGAATGAGATTACACAGCAATTATACAGCATTTTGCTTCACATATTTGACAGAGGTGGGTTTGTCATGCAAATGGGCTGCGGCAACACTGAAAGAAGCTGATTGGCCGCTTGAACGGCGGTTCCAATCAGAAATTCAAGAAGGTGCGGATCCGTAAATGCGTTTGCCGATTCCCGTTCACAAAGGCAGTGCTCTGTTTCTTTCGCACATTTCATCTCTATAAAAAGCAAAGCAGAAATTTATACAAAACGAAATCTAAAATGCTGTCGAAAAAAAATAAAAAGTCATCTGTACAAAGAAACAAACTGAACATTGCACAACAAAAATAGTGAAAAATGACTTAAATGTAACAGCGTGAAGGAATGTCCTGGTCTCGCAGGATTCACGAGTCGCATCATGCAAACACGTAAAAACAGGGTAACGAGACTGCGAGGAACTTCACCATACTATATGACCAGCGCGGGGATAGATATGCAGAATATCCATTAAATACACGAGTTCCTCACACGACCAAGGCATGACGGGATGATGACCGCGGGACAGTGACCGTAGACGCCAACTGGGGTGAAGCACTGAATAGTTTCGCACGCAACGTGAATGTGTTCTTGAGTAAAATCTACTGAAGGTGATGCACTGAAGAACGTGTTGGAGGATTCAGTGATGTGTGAAACGCGTGTGTGTGAGCGTGTCACTTCTCCTGCAGCAGGGCCGGGATGTTGATGTTCCAGCCGATGGCCTGGCGGTCGAAGCCACAGGTGAACAGGTTACAGGCTTGGTTTTCCTCGTTCCAGGCGGAGCAGCACACCATGCGTCGATGGCCCTGCGAGTTAAATGCAACGTGGGTGTCAGGACGCATTCAAAAGTACAAGACAAGCCAATGAAACGGTTAAAAGGACCAGGGCTAACTCAAAACATAGTAAGCCGTCTTCCCACCAAAACATAGGCTAAATGAAATTATATGAAACCATTTCCTTACAACACTTAATAAAAATGGTGTGTGTATGTGTGAATATATATATATATAGCGTACATCATCATGCATATATGTGTGTTTATTATTATTTCAGGGGTTTAAACCGCAAATTATATTACATTAAAGTCAATATAACAATGTAAATTGGTTTAAATTGTAAAAGTATATATTAAACTAAATCAAAATTCATAACAGTTTTTGTAAAACTGCTTATAATTTCTGAAACTATGGCTTCATTTCTCGAAACTACACACAAAACCACAGAACACACACACACAGCATGCAAAATGTCACACATCTCTTGCAAAAGCAAACACTTCATTTAAAACTATTTTAACTCTTCTAAAAAGGTGTGTTTTGTATCTGCTGAATATAAAGTAAAAAGGAATACATATAACTCCATCTGAAAATTGGAATTATACACTACCATTCAAAACTATTTTTTTGAAATCAACTAATACTTTCATTCAGCAAGGATGGATTAAATTGATCAAAAGTGATAGTATAGATTCTATTTCAAATGGATGCTGTTCTTTTAAACTTTTATTCATCAAATAATCCTGAAATAAAAAATATTAAGCAGCCAAGTTTAAGTTTTCAACATTGATAATATTAAGAAAGGTTTCTTGAGCAGCCTATCAGAATGATTTCTAAAGGATTATGTGACACCAAATTAATATTTTAACATTAGCATTTTAATATCAATATCAAATACATTAAAGAAGAAAAAAAATATTTTAAATTGTAATCTTATTTCTCAATATTATGGTTTTACTTTATAAAACCTTATTACGAACCTTACCGTCAGTAATAGTCAACAACACTGACAGTAATGCAGCGCAATATGAAAGAGTTCGTCTTAGGTTTAACAACCTATGAAACTAATAATTAACAATATGAAACTAAAACGACATAAGCTTAATTTATAGCTATTTAGAGGTGGATAAACGCAATTTAGAGGTGGATAAACGCACTTTGGAGGTGGGTAAACGCCGTTTCCGAATATTGGGAGGTGCGTAAACGGCGTTTAGCCTCCACTACATCCCTGGTCACGAGGTGCTAAACGTCGTCCCGGTGTGAACAGGCCTTAAGAGACGGTCCATAAGAAGAAAAAGAATCGAAATCAATCCAAGGAACTGTCTAGTGCTTAAAGAGTGAGAGGCACCTTGACAGACATGGAGCAAAAAGAAAGGTAATAAAACCTCCCAGTGTGAAACGTACCTGTCTGTTGCTCCGTGGGAGACGGGCCAGACGGACCCCATTCATGTCAAACAGTCTGACCTGCCGGTTGTCATGTGGCAGAGCGATGATTCTTTGGTTGGCAGAGACACTTATCCTGCAGGTTAGTACAGTGAATCAATCAATAAACTCTAAGTATAAAGAAATAAGACAATGTGTATTTACACTAAATGCAAACAGCTTAACTGGTTGGCAAAGGTTATTTTCATTCCCAATAGTTAGACAATTTACAAATAACACTTTAAGTGCAAGCAGTGATAGATGCTATTCACACAGTGTAAAGATGCTATTCGTTGGCTTTTAATGTAAATACTGTTTACACTAAGAGTAAATATCAATCAACTACCAACCAAAAATATTATCCAAATCTTTCAAACTATTTCTGGTTCAGAAGTCTGATTTTACTTATTCCTTTCAAAATATCTAGATGTTGAGGAATACGGTTTCTCAATTTTCCAGAACTTTCTAAAAAAGGCACTGTGTTGCCTCTACTTGTTAAGAGTCAAAAGTCTCAGGAAGCTGTCTTACACCTCACCAACCTGCAGCTCTTACCTATTAACGGCTGAGTCTGTGCGAATGGTAGCAATCGGAGATCTCATGTTCTTCAGGTCCCACACCTTGACGGTGCGATCGTCACTTCCAGACACCACGTTGTCCCCCACGGTGAACACGGCTGATGTCACAGTGCTGGAAGAAACAAATGACTTGTCAATGGAATCGTGATCCAATCACTCTTTAACACCTTAAGTCTAAAAATATCACCCTGAACAAACAAACATGGTTTTCACAAAATATATGCAAGATATCTATACGGACAGATAAAGACAGATCGTTCTGTAGCAACCGGAAGATTCAGAAGGTCAAGGATCTTGGCTGCTAATGTGAAGGACAGCAATTTAATCCTGAGGATAAGTCACTGTAACTGGGTTACGGGAGGTGTATTAAGGAGATGACAATCTTGATGTGTAACAATTGCATTCATTAGCGAGACTCTTAACCCCAGAACGCTCCGGCAGGAATTGTAGGAAGTGTGGCGTAAGGGACTTTGGATGAAATGCATCAGCAAAATGACAAGTCCCCTAAAAGTAACTAGCTCAGCACTCAAGTATTCTTTCAAAGCAAGATAGACTCTCTCCTTTACTGACATGAAAAATTACCATACAGAGTGACTAGAGAGTGCTCAAGGTGATTTGGTTATCTCTACAGTCCTATTCTTTTCAGAACCCAACGGATCAGGAAGCAGATCATGTGAGCTCCACTGTCTGCACTCACATTGATATTAGTCTTTGGTTTTCTGGTAAACAAATAGTTTTTTATGATTGATCATTGGTGTCATTTCTGAGTACTCGAGTCCAAACCTACTATCCACAGTAGCACTGTTGAACATCGTCAAACAGGTAGTGTATAGTCTCGGCATGGTCACTGCCTGATGCAGTTTAAAGGAACACTCCGACTTTTTGGGACTTTAGCCTATTCACCTTATCCCCCAGAGTTAGATAAGTCCATACATACCTTTTTCATCTCCGTGCGTGCTATAAGTCTGTTTGACGCACCCACCGCTAGCCTAGCTTAGCACAAAGACTGGATGTAAATGGTTGCAGCTAGCATACTAATCCCAATAAGTGACAAAATAACGCAAACATTTTCCTATTTACATGTTGTGATTTGTATAGTCACTGAGTGTACAAAAAACAAAGTCACATGAGACACAGACATATTTTAACCGTATAAATACTGGGAACTATATTCTCTGAAGGCGAAGCACTGCTACTTGGGCGGAGTGATAACCGCAGCACCTGAGACGAGCCGTGGTGAGGAGCAGAGAGTTCGTTCAGAGTTTGGGTACGGTACGTCTCAGGTGCTGCGGTTATCACTCCGCCCAAGTAGCAAGGCTAGCGGTGGGTGCGTCAAACAGACTTATAGCACGCACGGAGATGAAAAGGGTATGTATGGACTTATCTAACTCTGGGGGATAAGGTGAATAGGCTAAAGTCCCAAAAAGTCGGAGTGTTCCTTTAAGCCTAGTTCACACTACATGATTTTAAGCCCGATTTAAGCCCGATTTGCAAATCGTTGAGCTCGCCGACAGGTCATGGTGTTATCGCGTGCAAATCGCGGGGGAATAGCGGGCGATGAACGCTCGCCAATCTGTTAGTATGAAAGAGCCAACAACGCATCAAAGACGCTCGCAGACGCCTCGCAGACGCCTCGCAGACGCGTCGCCGAGCCCAGAAAAATATCTAGCATGCTAGATATCCAGAGCTGTCGCACGACTCAAGCTCACGTAATGTCATGAGCTACAGCCAATCAGAGCAACGCATGTTCGTGTGTTGTGTTCTTTTTCGTCTTCTTCGCTGGGTATTGGCGCATGTGCTGTTTCGCGTCATTTCCGGTTCGTTTTATCACGTGATTTTTCATGACAAAACGTGGTTTGTAGACAAGATAGAATCGTTGGGTGACAGAGTTGTTGTCAACTCGTGTAGTGCGTTACCTCCTGTTGCGGATCAATCACGTTGTGTCGTGTGGTGTGAACAGCTCAACAACTTGAAAACTCCTGATTTCACAGAGAGCAAGTCATGTAGTGTGAACCGCACAGTTCAGCCCGACGTTTTAAAATCATGTAGTGTGAACTAGGCTTTAGTTGTGTCTCAATTCGCAGGCTGCGTTTGTTGACTAGATACATCATCAAGGATGTCTCATTTCAGAAAAGTAACCATCATAAAACTGACCATTTCCTGTGGGGAATTTTTTTTAAATTGTTGTAATTTGTTTAGAACGCAATGGTTACTTTAGTCTTCAAAATGAGACCCAGCAATTGCATTGATTTGGTGGAACTCACCAGTTCCAATCTGACTGGTTCGCTTTTACACAACTTAAAGTCCCTGTAAAGGCAATTCTAAAAAAAAATTCTAAACCCATTATAAATGTTAGAAATGTATTGCTAAAACATATTACAAAGACTGTGAACTGTGAATTACTGAATTGCGGAGTTAGACCGTTGAACAGTTTTCCACCATTGCTATTTTCCGGATTTTTTGGGCGGGGCTAAAACGGGGCTCGATGACGCACTGGAGTGCCTGATCTCCTGGACACGCCCCTACTTGATGACAAACTGAGGCCACTGAGGCTGGCCCCTCCCCTAACAATAGAGCACATTCACAACAGTTTGGCGCTCAATCGCGAGTTACTGTCAGTACTATTAGTTACTACAGCCTACAGTTTGCTTGCTAGCTATGCCTTCGACACGGAAATGCGTAGGCTACTACCTGGATGCGATCATGTACAAAACAGATCGGTGTCTTTATTTAAATTTCCTAAAAACGATCACATCAAGAAGAGGTGGATTAATTTTGTGACGAGCCAACCTTGATGGAAAGCTGAGGATCACCGCCAACACCCGCCTCTGTAGCGATCATTTTACACGAATAGTTTTATAAACTTTCGTCGGAGACAACTGGGATTCACTGATAATCCGCTGTTACTGGTGAATGGGGCCGAACCGACTATCTCCCGCCTCGGCCTTCATCTCCCCGTCCCGAAAGCAGTATCACCTAATATCAGCGTCGGCAGCTTTCCCGCGAGTGGGCGTGGTTTCAGCGCAGCCAGCGGACACGCCCCCAGCGTTTGAGAGCAGAGAATAATGCTAATTTTTTCAAGATTTTGATGGCTTATTTTATGTACTTGCCGGCTTTTTTTATCATTCAAATTTGGCTGGGTGGCTAATAACACATTTTTCTGTGGTGTGACAAACTCAGAACACATACTTAATTTTGACTTTACAGGGACTTTAAGGATTCAAGGTGGACAGGTTTCGACTGTAGTTGGTCTTCTTCAGATGCGTTCACACTGGCGTTGATTTAATCCCTGCAGGTTGACTGCAAGCAGGTGTTCTTATTAGTTGCATTATACTTATGAGGTAGACAATGTGAGCTCCACTGTCGACACTACCATTAGAAGTCACTGCATATTAGAAAGTTAAATTCCAATCAACTTCGTTGTATCATGAATGATTGCCGTCTATCATTTTGCTTAAAATTGCCAACTCTCATTGAAAAAGTTTGGAAAGTGACTGCTTTGGAAGTAGGGGCATCGCTGGTTGGGGAAAATCTGGGAGTACAGAGTTTACAATGTTCACCTTGTAAACTGAACAAGGAGGCCAGAAAACATAGCGTCTCCAACGACCAGAAGTCAAAGTTGTCTATACAAGTAATCAGACTTGAGAGTGTGAAAAGAGTCGAGTCTGTTTGGAAATCGTCTGTTTAAAATTCTCATTGGTCAAAGGGTTCCTGTGTCAGAGAAGAACTTAAAATATCCTCAACTTTTGGGCACATGATGAAGCATCACTTTTCCAAAGCCTTGTGCTATCCCTCTACATCTTTGTGACACAACATCCCCATTGAATGTCAGTGGCTTCACAGTATTCCTTAGTCAAAGGTCTGGATACGTGAGCTTATCTAGTATGTGACTTCTGTAATGAGGCTTGAGTTGCTACTGAAATTGAATCTTCCCAACAAATTATATTATTGTGATTATGAAATTAAACTCATCTCTTTCTGGTTGGAAAGACCACCCTCTGCTCCTGTACAGGGCACGAGAGCACCAGCAGCTGGCGCAAAGTGAGGCAGAGACAGTGTGTGTAAGTGTGTGTGTGTGTGTGTGTGTGTGTGTGTGTGTGTGTGTGTGTGTGTGTGTGTGTGTGTGTGTGATTTGAGACAGTCTGGGTGAACAGCAGGAATGTCAGCAACCCTCAGGGTCACAGCGCACATTTAACTGCTCCGCTCAGCACACACACTTCCATTTAATGGACCTTAATATTTCTAATCTATCACGTCATTCCCTGCTGACATTTCTCTCCTCTTTGTATTCCCTTCTCTCGGGAGAGAAAAATTAAGAAGAAAAAAAGGGCCAGAGTTGGTGCTCCACTCGCCTCTAGCCGTGCTAATTTGAATTGACACGATATTAAGGTTTAATTAGGGGCTAAATTCCGCTGCATTAAAGATTTGGAGTTGGGTTTGGCTGTATTTAACAGCTTTGCTCGGCTCGCTCCGGCAGAGTTCACATCCAAAGTGAAGCGTGGAAACACTTTCTGACATCTTGGGTTGCCACCGGAAAGCAAGGGTGGGGGTGGTGGTGGGGCCGATAATAGATTAAAGGCTTGATTAAAATCCTATTACAACTCAAATGATATTTTGGGAATGTTCCGTTTCCCCTGGGACCACTGACAAGCAAGGTCGAGACTCATTAGAGGAAGAACGGCGATTGTGTTTAATAGAGATCCAGTGCTGAGCATAATAAGCTCTTTAAAACAATGGCTAATGTAGTTGCATGGGATCATACTCTTGCTGATGCTGGGAAAGACGAGATGTATGCTTCGTAATTATAATTGACAACTACGAATTTCATACATTTAAAACAGAGTTTATTCTGTGTACACAGTAAAGGAATGTCCAAATCCAAACTAGTGTTAATTTTCTTTCTTCCTTGGACAGTCTCAATAGACCCCTTTTCAGTTGGTAAACATGGTGACGTTTTTTTGTGGGCGGAGCTTAGGTGGAGGCAGAACGATCCCTCTGACCGCTTCCCTAACGTTAGTTTGCAAGTTTTGTTAGCTTGTTTTTTAACAATGACTGGAGAAAATCCAATTTTATCTTAATGTGCAAGGTCACTCAGTGTCCAGGACAGCGAAT